TATCCAATAAACGTCAAAACGGCTGAACCGATCGGGCCCAAATTTTTTGTGGGACATCTATGGACCCCAGGGAAGGTTTATGAATGATTGAAATTTTAAATATTTGTCTCCGTCAAAATTCGATCTTCATTAAATTTTTGAAAATTTTGAAAATCCACGAAATTTTTGTAAAAATCCGCGAATTATTTTTGTTTTGTTTTACGATGTACACAAAGAGAACATGTTCACAATTAATTTAGAAGATGGGCACGAAGCGCTAGAAAGAAAGGCGCGAAGCGCCTTGAATTTCTAGTATTATATAATTTACTGTTCAGTGAATATACTATTAATTCAACTGTACAGTGAATATATTATCTAATGAGCTGTACAGTGATTATATTATCAAATGAAATGCACAGTGGATATATTATTAAATGAAATGCACAGTGGATATTTTATCTATTCAATTGAACAGTAGATAAATTATCTATTCAACTGTACAGTGGATATATTATCTATTCAACTGTACAGTGGATATATTATCTATTCAACTGTACAGTGAATATACTTTTAATTCAACTGTAAAGTGAATATATTATCTAATGAACTGTGCAGTGAATATATTATATAATGAACTGTACATTGGATATATTACCAAACGAAATGCACAGTGGATATTTTATCTATTCAACTGAACAGTAGATAAATTATCTATTCAACTGAACAGTGGATATATTATGTATTCAACTGTACAGTGGATATTTTATCAATTCAACTGTATAATTGATATATTATTAATCTAACTGTACAGTGGATATTTTATCTATTCAATTGTATTGTGGCTATATCATCTATTTTACTTTAAAGTGGATATATTACCTATTTTGTTGTACAGTGAATATACTATTTATTCAACTGTACAGTGAATATATTATCAAATGAAATGCACAGTGGATATTTTATCTATTCAACTGTACAGTGGATATATTATGTATTCAACTGTATAATCGATATATTATTCATTTAACTGTAAAGTGGATATTTTATGTATTCAAATGTACAGTGGATATTTTATCTATTCAACTGTACAGTGGATATATTATGTATTCAACTGTATAATCGATATATTATTCATTTAACTGTAAAGTGGATATTTTATGTATTCAAATGTACAGTGGATATATTATCTATTCAACTGTACAGTGGATATATTATCTAATGAACTGTACAGTGGAAATATTATCTAATGAAATGTACAGTGGATATTTTATCTATTCAACAGTAAAGTGGATATATTATCTATTATTCTGTACAGTGGATATATTATGTATTCAACTGTACAGTGGATATATTATTTATTCAACTGTACATTGGTTATATTATCTATTCAACTGTACAGTTAATATATTATCTATTCAACTGTACAGTGGATATATTATCTATTCAACTGTACATTGGAAACCGTAAAACGTTATATATATAAATTCTGTGTATCTATGTGTATATCTACATATTGTACATCTACGTGATATATCTACATACTGTACATCTACGTGATATATCTACATACTGTGCATCTACGTGATATATCTACATATATCTACATTCTACATATTGTGCATCTACGTGATATATCTACATACTGTGCATCTTCGTGATATATCTAAATATTGTAAATCTACGTGATATATCTACATATTTTAAATGTACGTAATATTTCTACATATTGTACATCTACGTGATATATCTACATACTGTGCATCTATGTGATATATCTACATATTGTACATCTACGTGATATATCTACATACTGTGCATCTACGTGATATATCTACATATTGTGCATCTACGTGATATATCTACATATTGTACATCTACGTGAAATATTTACATACTGTGAATCTACGTGATATATCTACATACTGTGTATCTACGTGATATATCTACATACTGTGCATCTACGTGATATATCTACATATTATGCATCTACGTGATATATCTACATACTGTACATCTACGTGATATATCTACATACTTTGCATCTATGTGATATATCTACATACTGTGAATCTACGTGATATATCTGCATACTGTGCATCTACGTGATATATCTACATATTGTACATCTACGTGATATATCTACACACTGTGCATCTACGTGATATATCTACATACTGTGAATCTACGTGATATATCTACATACTGTGCATCTAGGTGATACATCTACATACTGTGCATCTACGTGATATATCTACATATTGTGCATCTACGTGATATATCTATACATATTGTGCATCTACGTGATATATTTACATACTGTGCATCTACGTAATATATCTACATATTGTACATCTACGTGATATATCTACACACTGTGCATCTACGTGATATATCTACATACTGTGCATCTACGTGATATATCTACATATTGTGCATCTACGTGATATATCTATACATATTGTGCATCTACGTGATATATCTACATACTGTGCATCTTTGTGATATATCTACATATTGTACATCTACGTGATATATCTACATATTTTACATCTACGTGATATTTCTACATATGTTACATCTACGTGATATTTCTACATATTGTACATCTACGTGATATATCTACATACTGTGCATTTACGTGATATATCTACATATTGTGCATCTACTTGATATATCTACATACTGTGCATCTAGGTGATATATCTACATACTGTGCATCTACGTGATATATCTACATATTGTACACCTACGTATGGTATCTAATGCAGGTGAACCCCGGCGTATTGTATTTGTATGTCGCCACACATGAAGGAGTTTGTCACACTCTATAACCCTGATCCAGTATCCAGAAGACAGTATTCAGTATTCAGTAAGAATATCGTAGTTATACCAAGAACATGCAAACTTTCAAGCGTAGAAAATATGTATGTGCATTAATTCTGACAATAATCAGAGTTTTTTTTCTAAACAAAAATAACTTATATTATGTGGAAAGTCGTCAAACTATAAATCTGTAAATCTTGAATGAACCCTTTTTCCAGTTGTCAAGATAATTTGCTTATCTAGCTGTTAAGATAATCTGTCTCCAGTTAACAGGATAATCTGTCTTAGCTGTTAACAAAAAAATTGTCTCCTGTAAGCACGAAAATCTGTCTCCCGTTTTCGAGATAATCTGTATTCAGCTGTCAAGATAATCTGTCTCCAGCTGTCAAGATAATCTATCTCTAGCTGTCAAGATAACCTGTCTGCATTTGTCACATAATCTGTCTATCCAGCTGTAAATAACCTGTCTATAAAACTGTCAGATAATCTGTTTATCAAGCTTTCAAATAATCTATCTACAAAGCTGTCATTTATTTCGTTTCATCTATTTACAATCTTCGTTCTTGATTTGATAAACTAGTTCCTCCAAGGATGAAAGCCCTAAAAAATTCGAGAAAACACGGCTCGAGTCTAAGCTTTACTTACAATTTGAGCTTTCGGGTTCAAGCCGCATCTTATTTTCCACAGAATTGAGTTAAAAACCAGTTTAATATTCTATTTGGCGGATTTTCATAGTAGGAATTGACGCATTCCGGGTTTTTATGAGAGAAAGGCACTAAAACCAACCAAGGTCGGTTTTATTTTCATTGGACCTAACTCCTTAAGGTCGAGTCGAAGATCTTGCATCTGTCAATCACGTGACACAAGTTGTCGTCAGAGTTGGGTCGAAGATTGGGTCTTGAAGTCGGATTTAAGGAATTACGGCTCGAGCCGAAGTTTTTAAATCGCGGGCTCTGAAGAAATAATTGAATGTGATCCTCCAGTTTAAGAGGGTCTGTACGATACACTATGGTACCCTTTAAAACCCCCCCCCCCCCATGTAGTTTTTTTGTCCTAGCACTCTCCGCATAAATCCGGAACAATAGAAATAATAGATTTTTCCAAGAATATTCGATAAAAATTCGTCAGACGGAGACTTTAATGGAAATGCTGTATTTTGGATAAATTTGGAATTAAGTCCACATACCATTTTATTTATATAACATAGTGAACTTCAAAATCCCGAAAAAGTTTTCTTTTCAGAGTAAAAACGTTTATTTAAATCAATATCATTGTCAGAACCGAGTGAAAAATGAAAGTGTGGCATCTGAAGCGGAAAATGTGAAATCCTACCGTTAAAAGAAATGATACTCCTCGAAAATTCGAAGGATCGATTGCTGCGTAGAGAATAAGTGAAACTATGAAGCAAATCCCAGGAGCAAATGTGGGAGTGAAGACAGCTCTAAGAGCAAGTTTTTTGCTCTTATATGTTCTTGAAACTCAAGCACAGACAGACACGCGGTAAGTTACATTTTACCACAGATGAAAAGATATATAAAGAGTGAAATTTACCATAGAGTATAGAATATATATAGAGTGGAATTTACTCCAATTAAGTGTAAGCCCGTCCTTATGTTAAGTGCAGATACTCTACATTTAAGATAAGACGGGGGTGAACCTTTGGCTAGTACCTTACGAATACAATAACAAGCTGACTTAGAATTATCAGAAGGTTTTTAGTTTTTTGAATAAAATTACTAGACTGATCTTTTATATAGACTTAACTTAAAGAAAGAAAATATATCTCAAAGCTTGAGTCTTAATTATGTATTATAGTGGAAGCCTAGTCTCTAAACCAATACTGCAAAATTGCTCAAGAATACAGTCATCTTCGTAAATATCAATACAATGAAGGCGCCTTTCGATTGCAATTTTTATTTTTACTAAGCTTGCAAACAGAGTAGAAGAATGGAAGCAAACAACTGTACATGTTTTTAAGTCTACACAATTTATAGAAATTTCTAGAGTTTATTTTCAATCGTTGTTGTTGGAGATATCCCTGAAAACTTTTATTTGACTATTTTATTCATTCTTTTGACAGAGAAAAGATCTTGTTACGCTTCCGTATTTCCTCCCTCCTTCCTTTCCCCTCCCCTTTCATACCCCTCCCTTTTTGTCTGTTCCCCCAATCACCCTCCCCCCCTCTTACTTCCTCTAGTCTTTCCTTGTTTTTCTTCATATCTGAATAAATTTGAAACAGTCAGATATAAAACACACAAATTTCATTCTATGAATGCATATTGCATATTTCTGAATTACAAATTCTAATGAATTTAGTCACATACGCAAACCTTTCTCTGGATACGCAAACCTTTCTCTGGATACACAAACCTTTCTCTGGATACGCAAACCTTTCTCTGGATACGCAAACCTTTCTCCGGATATTCAAACCTTTCTCCAGATACGCAAACCATTCTCCGGATACGCAAACCTTTCTCCGGGTACACAAACCTTTCTCTGGATATGCAAACCTTTCTCCTGATACACAAACCTTTCTCTGGATACGCAAACCTTTCTCTGGATACGCAAACCTTTCTTCGGATACGCAAACCTTTCTCTGGATACGCAAATCTTTCTCTGGATACGCAAACTTTTCTCTGGATACACAAACCTTTCTCTGTATATGCAAACCTTTCTCCGGATATTCAAACCTTTATCCAGATACGCAAACCATTCTCCGGATACGCAAAGCTTTCTCCAGATACGCAAACCTTTCTCCGGGTACACAAACCTTTCTCTGGATATGCAAACCTTTCTCCGGATATGCAAACCTTTCGCTGGATGTTCAAACCTTTATCCAGATACGCAAACCATTCTCCGGATATGCAAACCTTTCTCCAGATACACAAACCTTTCTCTGGGTACGCAAACGTTTCTCCAGATACGCAAACCTTTCTCTGGATATGAAAACATTTCTCCAGATATGCAAACCTTTCTCTGGATACGCAAACCTTTCTCCAGATACGCAAACCTTTCTCCAGATACGCAAACCTTTCTCCGGATATGCAAACCTTACTCCGGATACGCAAACTTTTCTCTGGATACCAAACCATTTCTCTGGATACGCAAACCTTTCTTCGGATACGCAAACCTTTCTCTGGATACGCAAACCTTTCTCCAGATACGCAAACCTTTCTCCAGATATGCAAACCTTTCTCCGGATATGCAAACCTTTCTCCGGATATGCAAACCTTTCTCCTGATACGCAAACCTTTCTCTGGATACGCAAACCTTTCTCCAGATACGCAAACCTCTCTCCGGATACGAAAACCTTTCTCCGGATACGCAAACCTTTCTCCGGATACGAAATGTTTCCTATTTTAACTTTAATAGCTAGAGTGCCTGGCGCGGTTTGCCCAGGTGTATATTATTATCATGATTAAAGTTTATTTTCGTACATAAATATAAATTAAGATAAAATAATGTAGATAATGCTAAAATATTAAAAATTTAGAAAAGTCAAATAAAAGAATTCTGCTTATTCATTTTCTAATTTCATACAACATTCTGTTTTAAAGAAATTTAATTAGTTAAAAAAACAGTATTCAATTGTATAAACATAAGCAATTATTTAGAACAAGTTAGCACATTACAAGGGCGTATACATATTTGTCTTGTGTTTCATGTACAAACCATTGTATGAATTGTACCTAGCATTGATTGATAATGATTTCAATTAATAATTACTTTTCCCGTTCATTATCCTTGAATGGATCCTGTAATCCCACAATATATTTAGATTTTTTACTATATTTTTCGTCGTCGTTATATAATAATTTGCACTCAATTTTAAGATTTACAGATCTTTAACAAGTTTTTTATGTCTCAAATGAATCCTAAAGAATTTGTCCACAACACTGTACTCAGCTAGTTCAACTACCCTGCATAACCGGTCTGTCCCTTTAAGGAACATTAATAATAATTACTTTCTAGATCTATAAGCGGTAGGAAATAAATGTTTACATTTGAAACTTGAAAACCATGTTAAACATAGAATATTCTAGATTTTCCGGAAATAAATGTGACTTCATCTATGATGATCCGTGAAAGGTGGAACCGGTGTGAAAGGTCACCTGAAATTACGCATATGCAGCACCTTTAAGCAGTCATGAGAAGCTTGTTTATATATATATGTAAACGAGAAAACTAAATCTTGCATCCAGTGATTTGACAGGTTCAGGATTTTCTTAAGATTACCTAACATGCATGATTTTGCAACTAAGAATAAAGGTATTTAGTCTTTGAAAACAATCGAATTCATACTTCACAGCGGTCCTCAGGGTTGGGCCAGTTACTTATAAAAACTACTGCCAAACCATGTGCTCAATAGATCGGACGTGTCTAGAACTACACAAGCGTATAATTTGAGCTAGGTTCCTGAACTACCTAACACCAGTTCAAATAATTTAATATACGTTGTTGAACCTAGTTTAAAATCATGAAGTCTGGTCCCTGACAATAATAGGGATACGCAAACCTTTCTCCGGATACGCAAACCTTTCTCTGGATACGCCAACCTTTCTCTGGATACGCAAACCTTTCTCCGGATACGCAAACCTTTCTCCGGATACGCAAATCTTTCCTATTTTAACTTTAATAGCTAGAGTGCCTGGCGCGGTTTGCCCAGGTGTATATTATTATCATGATTAAAGTTTATTTTCGTACATAAATATAAATTAAGATAAAATAATGTAGATAATGCTAAAATATTAAAAATTTAGAAAAGTCAAATAAAAGAATTCTGCTTATTCATTTTCTAATTTCATACAACATTCTGTTTTAAAGAAATTTAATTAGTTAAAAAAAACAGTATTCAATTGTATAAACATAAGCAATTATTTAGAACAAGTTAGCACATTACAAGGGCGTATACAGGGGGGGGGGGGCAAGGGGGCAGTGCCTCCCCCTTTAATTCAGAGCTATCAAACTTTTAAAATCTGAAACTGAAGAGTGAAGAACATAAAAATATAGTTTGCTGTTTTTTCTCCAAGTTTTGTTTGAAGGAAAGATAAAGTAGTACTTGCGAGGTAATTATGGACTTATGTGTGATACCTTTGAAGTATCCAAGAAGCCAAATGTTTGGTATTTACAGTTCAAATTTTGCCCCCCACCCCTGGAGCTCCTAGGCAACATTTTTTTGCGCTTCAAGCAAAGGGTCCCATTCTTGATGTTTCTAGTAGACTTGACATTCACCATTAGCAAAGGGTGTAAACCCATTCTTGATATTTCTAGTAGACTTGACATCCACTAATAGCAAAGGGTGTAAACCCATTCTTGATGTTTCTGGTAGACTTAACATTCACCATTAGCAAAGGATGTAAACCCATTCTTGATGTTTTTAGTAAACTTGACATCCATCATTAGCAAAGGTTGTAAATCTATTCTTTATGTTTCTAGTAGAATTGACATCCATCATTAGCAAAGGGTGTAAACCCGTTCTTGATGCTTCTAGTAGACTTGACATCCACCATTAGCAAAGGGTGTAAACCCATTCTCGATGTTTCTAGTAGACTTGACATCCACTAACAGCAAAGGGTGTAAACCCATTCTTGATGTTTCTAGTAGACTTGACATCCACCAATAGCAAAGGGTGTAAACCCATTCTTGATGTTTCTGGTAGACTTGACATCCACCAATAGCAAAGGGTGTAAACCCATTTTCGTTGACATCCACCCTTATTATCCATAGGCATAGTTACCTCTGCCGTTTACCCGCGCTTTATATTATATCATGATGTTTGCTGAAGTGCCTAGCGAAGCCCGTAGATGTTCAAAACTTCTGAAATGTAACCCACGGCATACCCTCAAAAATACAACCAATTTTGTCCAGCCGATTCGCCAGCTATAACCAATATAGAAATATGTTATACATTAACTAAGAGTTTTATTATATGGAAGACTAGCTAAATGGCCCCGGCGTTGGCCGTGGAAAATTTTTTTTTTTTTTAATTTTTAAAAAAATTATCGATTTTTTTTTATCCTACAACATCCCCCGGCCACCCATGAGTGTCAACAAAAATTTTCAGCCCATTCGGTCAGCCGTTTGTCCGACTATAGACAACATATATATATATATATGAATGTCTTTTTTTATTATATAGATAAAAAACCTATTTTGTAGATGCCTATTAGAAGGAGGAGGGTCTACAGATAGTTTCTTTGTGAGAGAAGATCTTGGAGTTGGTTCTACACTTGGAAAACTTAGACTTAAAGGTAATATCGGGTTCTTATCCACATCTTTCAGGGACACGAGAAAAATAAACAGTTTATAAAAAGCCAAAAACATGCATATCTCATTCACACTTGATCAGACACAAGGGTCTAATGCAAGGAAAGTTAATTGCGGTCGCGTATACTCTGCGTACACATTGAAACCAGTTCTCTTTGGGCTGAATTTGTAAACAATAATAGATGCATCAGTGTTCGTTTAGTATTCGAGGAGGTTAAAAGCATTAAATTTTGATAGTTTTGATAATTCCCATAATAGTTTCCTATGACCAGAATATTTCATTGATTTTTTTATGTGAAAGATGGATCCCATGTCAGGCTTTGACATCCGTCTTGTGTTTACATTGCCGCCCAGAGACAGTACATTGCAGTACAAAAGATATGAACACCTCTGAAATAACTTTCCTTGCATTACATCCTAGATCAGACAAAGCTTTTGATAAACATTTTTCATTATGTTACCTTACTTTTTGTTGTTTTAGCTGTGCTTTTTTAGGAGAAGTTAATAAAGATATCAGGCTCAGTCTAGAGCAATCATCAGGACCAATAGGATTAGGTATCTATCTATATATCTATATATCTATCTATCTATTTATCTAACTATCTATCTATCTATCTAGATCTATCTGATGGTTCTGCTAGCCTCATCCTTAACTCTAAACTAGACAAGGAAGAATCATTGTAAAGAAAATAAAAATAAAAAAATGCTTGTTTCTTTTAATGGTCCCTAGTTCCACGGAATGGGAATCGCTCTGACAGATAAATGGTCCATTTATTCTAGATTCAATGCTTTAAATGTTTTTGTGCCAAATCTATTCTAATTTATTTCTATAAAAGAATCTATTTTAACAATGATATTGTATACTCAGGAAGGTGTTACAGGTAAAAAAAAAGATAATTGAAATTTTAAAAAATTTATGTCAGAATCACAAAAGTACAATGAACCTGTGCTTTATCAAGGTTGAATGAGACATTCAGCTGAAAATGTATTATTTTCGATTGTTGCTTCTTTATAAAAGTGACTTACGGCTTAATCCAATGGAGGATATTGTCATAATCAACACGTTTTCAGATAGAAAAACATTGATGGACACATACAGTTAATAAGACATGGTCGTATAAAATTACAGTTACATTAAATGAGAAACTTTGTCAGAAAATAAATTTAACATTTCAAATTTATTATTTCAACTTATCTTTTAGATTTTAAATTACTGTTTGAATTGCTTACAAAGCATGAAATTGAAACCTTAATCTTTACTTGCAGCAGTTCAGTGGGAATACATTTTAAAGAATACACAAATTTTAACCTTTTAAAGTACAACGTGAATTTAAAGAAAGTTTAAAGGTTTCAAAAGTAAAAATAAAACATTATGATCTCCCCCTTCTAAACTCCTTCCTTCGAAGAGAAGGGGGGGGGATCAGGAGGCCATCCCCCTCCCTTTAGTGTTTAAGTGTGAGATCAATATGGCAAATCTTCTGAAGGTCTGTAGGGGGTTTCCCCCCCCCCCCCCTTCCAGCCTGAAACNAAGGGGGGGGGGGGGGGTGACCACCTCAATTCAGCCTGAATATTCTCCAGGTCCATCAAGTGTAGCTGTGAGTGTACGATGTGATCGAATAGACGCCAATGATCCTGGGTTCAGTATTCCTATTAATATCAGGTATTTTCCCATTATTATCAGGTATTTTCATATTAATATCAGGTATTTTCATATTAATACCAGGTATTTTCATATTAATATCAGGTATTTTCCTATTAATACCAGGTATTTTCTTATTAATATCAGGTATTTTTTTATTAATATCAGGTATTTTCCTATTAGTATCAGGTATTTTCCTACTAATATTAGGTATTTTCCTATTAATATCAGGTATTTTCCTATTAATATCAGGTATTTTCCTATTAATACCAGGTATTTTCTTATTAATATCAGGTATTTTCCTATTAATACCAGGTATTTTCCTATTAATATCAGGTATTTTCCTATTAATATCAGGTATTTTCCTATTAATATCAGGTATTTTCTTATTAATATCAGGTATTTTCCTATTAATATCAGGTATTTTCCTATTAATACCAGATATTTTCCTATTAATATCAGGTATTTTCCTATTAACTAGGTAATTTCGGTGTTATCCTACAATTCGCATTGGTACTGTTTAAAAACTACTACTACCTTGTTTTTCTTTGTAAAACTAATGATTTTGAATTAACCAAGTAGATTTTCAAATACAATAGGTGGCAACAGAGAAATGGATCAATTATACACGACGTCACACGTGTCAAATATAACAAGGAAAACGAAATTTTCTCACATTGGTTTACAAGTTTCAAGATAAAATAAAAAAGTGTAAAAACAAATACTAAAGAACATATAAAGTTGCATTTATTTTACTGTAAGATGAGTAAGATAAGCACTTTATTCTAAAATTATCACTATTATTAATAATTTTGTCGGACGCAAAAACTAAGTTGTCACTTGTGACGTAATAATATCCGCTGTGCTGAGTGAACAAATTCTACGTTGCCATCTTTTGTTTCTATTTGAAATTAAGGCTTCTTTCTAAAATTAATATTTTTGACAATTTGACTTTTAAATGTCTTTCTAAACAAATTATAATTGACAAAAATGGTCCAATCGGAATTTATTAATTTTGCTTCATCTCTATTATTTCAGAGTCACTGATGTGAATGATAACGCTCCTGTTTTTGTTTCAAGTCCATACTATCTTAACATTAGGAATATAATTAACTGACAAATATTAGAACATTCATTTAATAGGGTTACCCCAAATCCATGAGACTTTAAAGACAACCCTGTTCAAATACAACGAATAGATTGTTTAATTTGTCTTCTGCTTCAAAGGAAGTGCATGAACGTAATTTTGAGCAACTCTCCATCTATAATGGGGCAGACCCAGGGTATCCTTTAACCTCGGTCTGATCATTGAAACAAATTGTTGATTTCTACTGTGCTTTCTCTGTTAAAGTGACTTGCGGATTTATTCTAATAGAAACTGAAGAATTCTGACAAGCTGGTCAGAATTCAGCAAGAATTCAGCACAATTTCTTCCATATTCATCTATCTACAGTCAACCAGAATGGGTTTACACCCTTTGCTAATGGTGGATGTCAAGTCTACTAGAAACATCAAGAATGGGTTTACAACCTTTAGTATGACTGATAAAGTCTATATGCAGTTGATATATTGTGTTTGATTAGTGAAGTGCTGACTTTTTCAAAATAATTGCGTATGCTATGCTTACACATTTCAATTCTCTTTAAAATCTTAACTGCGTTTAACATGTTTATTTGCAATGAACGTATTCCTGAAAATGTTCTGATATTCTAAAAATATGACTAGATTATTTTGAAACAGCAAATACATGTTTAGGAAATTAGAAAATGAATATGCAGAATTCATTGATTTGACTTATCAAAATAAAAAAAAAATTAATGCATCTGTGGATATCAAGATTAATGCTTGATCCTCTCTTTTTCTTAATATCGAAACTAACCTAATCTTGATCCTGATGAGTGTATAAAATTAAACCAATCAGAGTCGCGTATAAGAAGCCGATAAATTTGAAATTTTGCGCGCCATTTAACACTAATATACAGAAACGGGAGGGACTCTGTAATTAAAGAAATAGCGCCAATATAAATGTTAAATAATGATTTGCGGCAGTGAGCTTAGTCTGGTGGGATCTGTCGTCTTTACTGGAATAGCCGCAATAGATATAGGTAGAAGAGATTAATTGATTGATTTACTTTAATCCGTATGGTTTTCAATAACTTTTAATAAGACTAAATAAAACTATATTCTGCTTGTGCGTTCATTCAATATTTTTACATATAAAAAATTTTAAACGCTATTTTTTTGCAGTTATTTAATTTTGTTCATGGTCAACATTTGGCATATTGTGAGCACAGCAAATAAATAATTTGGAAAGCATTTGCTCTTCTTCGGTTAGGTTAGGTCGGGGTCACTGGAAATTACACAAAATAGCATTTTCAAATTTTTTTTTCAGATCAGCCGGGGCCTTTTTCTACTGTTGAATACTACATCCCCCCTGGACCATTCTCAGGTAAAACAAACAAAAAACAAACAAAAAAATATTGAGATACAAATGTTAAAATAGTTAAAATATTGAGATACAAATGTTAAAATAGTTAAAATATTGAGATACAAATGTTAAATAGTTAAAATATTGAGATACAAATTTTAAAATAGTTAAAATATTGAAATACAAATGTTAAAATAGTTAAAATATTGAGATACAAATGTTAAAATAGTTAAAATATTGAGATACAAATGTTAAAATAGTTAAAATATTTCAGATTATTTGGCGTTTGAAAATCCTCTGGAGGGTCGGCTTATTCTCACAAAGGAAAAATAAAATAAAAGTGAAATAAAATAAACTTAATTTTAATTAAACTCCCATCTTAAAGGGTTGTTTTCACAATTCACAACGGTACCCTTTAAACCTAGATATATACAATAAGAAGGAAAATGTTGTCGTTTTACTTTTCGGAAAAAATATTCGATTCTGACGGTTTCCTTCATCGTCTTTGCTGATAAATCCGCAATTTAATTTTCAGATAAAAGAAAATAGTCAATATTGTATTAAGAATTTCTTACCGAATTAAAATATCCGTACCCCCCCTCCCTTCCCTCTTACAACATACCTCCCCCCCTCTTTAAACATTTATATTATTTTATATATATAAATTTTAAATTTGCAATATTAAAATTGTGTTGTCTGAAGCTGCAAAGTTATGACACTTTAATAGAGGCAAAAAGGGACAGTACACCAAATGAATCGTCTCTTTTCTAGTTAAATTACGTAGATAATCCCTTCGAAATCAAAATTAAGTAAACGTTTTAAAATTTTTCTTTAAATTTGCAACTTTTCATTTATTTTGTAGAGTTTGGATTTTGAAAAACTGGAAAAATTTGAAATAAAAATAGAAGCCAGGGATCAGGGATCTCCACCCCAGGTACATAAATATTGAGATAAATAGGAAAACTGTACATAATTATATAAATAAATATGATAACTGTACATAATAAATATGATAACTGTACATGATTATATAAATAAATATGATAATTTAACAAAATTATATAAATAACTATGATAACTGTACATGATTATATAAATAAATATGATAACTGTACATGATTATATAAATAAATATGATAACTGTACATGATTATATAAATAAATATGATAACTGTACATGATTATATAGATAAATGGATATCTATGTATTTTAAGATAATTATAATTTAACTGTGAATGCAAATATAGATAAATATAAAAATTTAAAAACTGTACATACAAATTTAGTTAAATATGAAAACTGTACATGAATATTCAGATAAATATGATAACTTTACATGAATCTTTAGATAAATATTAAAACTGTACATGAATATTTAGATAGATATGAAAACTGTACATAAATATCAAGATAAATATTACATCTGTGCATGAATATTAAGATAAATGTGAAAACTGTACATAAATATCAAGATAAATATTACATCTATGATCTGCTCATGAATATTAAGATAAATGTGACAACTGTACATAAATATCAAGATAAATATTACATCTGTACATGAATATTAAGATAAATGTGACAACTGTACATGTCCGGGTACTGGACGCTGATGACCAGAATCCTGGTTTCTATTTTGACCGGTACTCTGCCCAGATACCAGATATGCCCGGGCAAGGGGTAAAACTGCAAACCTCTCCACAGAATATCCAAGCTTTTGATAAAGATTTAGGAAAGCATACCAAATAACAACCCATAGTCCCCCCCCTTACCAAATATATTTGCGTATTTTTTTAAACTATGAGTATAAAAATTACAGACGAAGACGTGACAAAATTTAAATAAGAAAGAAACCCGAATACATCTCAAATTGAATTTAAGTCAGGGGTAGCAAAAAAGAAGAAAAGGTTTTAAAGTTAGTTTTTATAGAAATTGTTCTATAATTTTCAGTTTACAGCCCAAGTAAGCTTTTTTACTGCACCTAGCTCTATGGGGAGGACTAGCCGGTGCAACAAGGTTGACGCGGTCAGACTTTATGCTTCATACAGGTTGAATTGAATTTACTTTTACTAAAGGTGCGTGAATAGTAACGTCTTTTTAACGATTTTAATCTTATGGCGAATGAAAGTGTTTATAGTATAGACGTTAATTGCTTAATGTCAAGCTATGCAAAGGTTTATTGAAGAGATTATATCCTGCTGCGACAAATCATTTATCAAGTAAATTCTAGTTAAAACAAAAATATCAAATGCCATCAATTAAGAAATTAAACAGAGAAACAATTGAAAACAAAGGCACTTAAAGAGAGAGACCATCTAGGTAACGTAGTTGAACTGAAAGTGCAGTATTGTTTAGAAAAAAGTTTATGATTCATTTGATATCAATATGACGTTTTTACGGTGTATAATTTGTAAGTAAGAGAGTAAATTCGGTTGAAAATTTTCACCACAGGATGGTCTGCAATTTTACGCCGTATAAACGTCTCATTGGTATATAATATGCTCTAAAGGTTTTCTCTATAATGCTATACACTCTCAGTTCAACTAGGTTACCTAACTGATCTCTCCCTTTAAAGGCCGAAAAACAAAAAATATATATTTTTTTAAATATTAATATTTTCCTTCCCGCACCCCACCCTACACCTCGTTACAAAGGGATGCTTTTATAAAGGTGTCAGTTCTCCAGTCTTTTACACTTTCCAGGGTTCCGGACCAGAATACAGGTAAACTTTCCAGGGTTCCGGACCAGAATACAGGTAAACTTTCCAGGGTTCCGGACCAGAATACAGGTAAACTGTCCAGGGTTCCGGATAAGAATACAGGTTAACTTTCCAGGGTTCCGGACCAGAATACAGGTAAACTGTCCAGGGTTCCGGACCAGAATACAGGTAAACTGTCCAGGGTTCCGGATAAGAATACAGGTTAACTTTCCAGGGTTCCGGACCAGAATACAGGTAAACTGTCCAGGGTTCCGGACCAGAATACAGGTAAATTTTCATGAACAGTCCTATTAATTTTTCTAAATTGAAGAACCGCCTGTTTTAATTACATATCTAAAATCTGATATGTTCGCGGAGCTGCTTAAAACTTTCACAATTGATGAGTCAGTCCTTTTAGATTATCATATTTTTGAACGTTTGTTAATTAAGCTTTCAAAATTGATACGTTTAAACTTTTAAATGGATGAACAGTGAACTAAAACTGTTAAAAACAGCCATTTAAAATTCTAAAAAGTGGTTATCAATTCGTTAAACTTACAAAATTTATACACAGTCCGTTTTAATTTTCAAAATATATGAACAGTCCGTTTGAACTTTTTAAAACTGGATGAACAGTCAATTGAAAACTGTTAAAATTAAAATAGCATTTAAAATTTTAAAATTTATAATCAGGTCAGTGAACTTACAAAATCCTATAAATAGTCCATTTACACCTTCAAAATTGATGAACAGTCCATTTACACCTTCAAAATTGATAAATAGTCCATTTAAACTTTCAAAATTGTCAAAATTTACGAAGAGTCCGTTTAAACTGTCAAAATTGATTTACAGTCTGTTTAGATGTCAAAGTTGTTGATCTGTCTGCTTAAACTATAAAAATTTATTAAAAGTCTGTTTTAACTGGCAAAATTGATGAAAAGTTCGTTTAGACTGTCAAAATTGATATACAATTCGTTTGAACTGTCAAAATTGATGAAAATTACGTTTAAATTGACAAAATTGATGAAAATTCTGTTTAAACTGTCAAAATTGTGGAACAGTCCAAATAAACTGTCAAAATTGATGAAAATTACGTTTAGATTGACAAAATTGATGAACAGCCCGTTTATACTGTCAAAATTGATGAAAATTCTGTTTAAGTTGACAAAATTGTTGAATAGTCCAAATAAATTGTCAAAATTGATGCGTGATTCGTTAAAAGCATATTATTATTTTTCAGATATTTTGAACTAAACCGTAACACAGGCAATATCTACATTAAGGTAATTTGTAAATAAAAGAAATTGAATTTTTGCAGATAACTGTGAATTCTGTAAGATCAAATAGTCTCTGAGAAATGTCAATGGTTTGCAAAGATATCGTGATTAGAAAATTATTGTTTGTGGTAAGAACTCATTCTTATAGATTTTATACTTCTGGCAAAAATTATTTGTTCTTTTTATTTCATGACAAAAAAAATATCTTTTATTTCATGATTTTTTTTCACAGGGTTCTATCCCTAGAACTGAGTTTCTGCAGCCCACGACCCTGGTTATAAAGGTAAACAGTAACCAATAATAGAAATAATTGAAATACAAATGTTAAAATATTTAAA